TCAATGGCTAATGGTAAATTAAAGCTGCAGTCCGGCGTTTTTCCTCTTTGTCGCCATCTCTGTTCGAAATCTGCAATTGCAGTCATTCGCGGAATTATCAACTTTACGTGAGTTGTACTTCAACACCCTCGACACGGCACAGCGCGGATGAACACAGTGTTTGAGAAGAGTGTGAGGCTGTCAGTCACCGCGCCGGTGTGGATACTGTCATTCAGAATCACAGATTATTCTTTTTGGATGTATGACCAACATAATAATTTTCACCGGAAAATGTCATCTGAACTAGTAAGAAACATCCACTTTTGTTCTGGTTCTGACATTGCAGTAAATCGCGCTGATTAAATCTAACAATCGCTTATAAGTTATCATATCACGCAAAACCGTGCAAATTATACTTTGTTCTCAAATTGTTAATGTTAACAACATAAGCATTGCGTGACTACATGTAATGTCCTTCCGATATGTATCCTTGTTTTCGCATGGGTCTGGTGTCAGTCTCTTTTTTCTGTAGCCACTCCGAAGTCCGAACGAAGTCTTTTGTATTTTACAGCGGGTGAATCTGTTGTCACTGGTGATCGTCGTTTGAACCTTTCTGGATCCGCCATCAAATTGATAAGTTTAATTATATGAAGTGCTGTGAGAAAAGGCTATAAATCTCCACCTCAAACATCCTCACACGCAACATAGCCTACTAGCCGAGACTCTTCTTTATGTGTACAGATGTGACGTAATGACGCAAAGACAAGCTCAAATCTCCTGCGGAAATCCACCAGTACCACTGGAATTAAAAACATTATTACAATGTTACCGCTTTGAATCGAGCTAAGGCAAGCAGATATTTTGAACACTGGCTGGTTATGTATTTTCTCAAATATGTATTTTGGATCATTTTTAACCCAAAAAAAGCTACGGACTGCAGCTTTAAGACTTGTCAATCTGAGCTCCTGGGGCCGGTTCATTAAACTGCTTAGACTAGTCTTAAAAGTTAGTCATCTAATTTTTTTTCTTCAAGACTGGTGCTTACTTTTTAAAGTCAGTTACATAAAAAGGTAGATCGGTCTCATTTGATTTAGAAAGTAAGACTGGTTACCTCGGACTAATTTCTAGCGGTCAAATTAGTTCTTAAGGCAGAGTCTTAACATAGTGGCTAAGTTTATGCAACTGGCCCCCAGATCGCGCTCCAGCTGTAAAACAGTGTCTGATTGGTCTCTACTCTCTACACATCGTCCCTCACTGTATACACGCCCATAAGTTTCCATTGGTTGAACTTTTAAATGACGTTGGAAAACACTGCGTCACGATCCCGGAAGTCCTATAGCTTTAGCCAAGCAGCATGTCATGTCACTCCATTGTCTTATGTTGTGTTTGGTCTCATTTGAGACCAGCTGTTCTAAATAAAGATGTGTGATCTACTATGGTTTACTAATGTTTCGAAGTTACAAACCAAAATGTGCCACAAAAAAAATACACGTGTGGTGGCAGCGCTTTTTCATTCAAATGCTTACTTGGTATAATGTGGTCTCTGACTGAAACAAATGTGCTTATTGTATTCTGCTAGTTGAGACCTTTTTTACAATTTATGACAAATCTATCTGTTATGTATGATTTACAGATCACATTTTCAGAAAAAGCAGTTGTTTTTTTCACGCTATGAAAATAGAGCACTTCTAATATATCTGCAAATTGTTGTTAAGTGATGGTCATTTCCCTATAGTCACTGTAAAGCCAAGCTTCTAAGCTTTAAAATGACACCTAGTATTTTGTGTTGGTTAAGTAAGTGGTTGTTGAGTAAAGATAACATTAGCGCCCCCCACTTCGGATTTAAGAGGTTAAGGTTAACGATTAATCGATTAATTGATGTTTAATTTTAACTACGATCGATAATGAATTTATGTAGGCCTACATTGACATCCCTATTCCCTAGTTTTAGTTTGCTGGTATATTTTTTATTTAGGCCTATTTTGTTTGTGTTCAGACCTCTGAGTTTTCATTCGATGTCAAGGCTACTTGTCCGTCGACCTGATTATGTTTACACTGATATTTCAGTGTTTCAGTTTGCTGTATAATTTATATTTATGTCCTACATTTGGAAAATATCTTCATTAAATGACATTTTTAATGCGGTTAATTACATTATAGATTATTTATTTTGTGTACGTTCTGATCTCAGAAAAGTTTGTGCAACGTTTGCTGGTGTCACTGCTTTATGCACGCACTGGAGCGCTTAATTTATATTTTAAATACTCATTATTAGGGTTTAGTATTTCTCCCCCAACTAATCAACTAATGGCTTAAATGAACGACTAACAGTCGACTAGGAAAATCTTAGAGCAAGCCCTATCATTTTCATAATTCATGTAATTCATAATAACTGAATGTGACAAGACAAGGAACGTTTTGCGTTTTCAACATAGACATAAAAATAAGAGTAAATGCGTGCATATTTTAAAATAAAACATTATCTGCAAATAGTTTAAATTGATTACTTCATAATAAGACCTAGAACTTAATTTACCATTCTTATTTCTTTTACTCTATTCCCTTAAATCCCAGTTCCTAATTATTTAATTCCATTAAATGAAAAAAACTATTTTTGCTGAAATTCTTCTATTTACGTATATCCGAGTGAAACGGCTTCTCAAACGAGAATAAATGTAGGGCCGGACTTGATTTTGTCCATCGGGGACTAACTGGATTGTTGGGTCAGGTCGCTATTGCTGCGACATCATGTGATTGACAGGTTGTCCCACCCTCGTACCAGTAAACACCTCATCAGAGAAGAGATGAGATGAGATGTCACTGCAAGTGATGAGATGTCACTTGTAAGATTTGTTAATGATCATTTAAAATAAATATTCCATTAAAAATTTTGAATTGTCCATTTTGATTTCATGGTGACTAAGTATTTTTAGAGACATTTCCAAGTCAATGTAATCAGATGAGCCATTTTCTCCAGAATCGCGTAATCACACAGTGTTTGCACACAACAGACAAGTTACACCAGAGAAGGCAGAGGGATCTTTACTCTCTGGGGAGAATTCTTTTTTTGAACATCTATTCTAGCTGCCTTCTGGCATATACGACAAACACACCCACAAACACACGCACAAATGAAGGGCAGCTCAGCAAAGAAAACATCCTGAGGTTAAAAAAAAGGAAAGGAAAAGAAACAAAGGAGAGCAGAAAATACTTCCTGTCACCAAACCACCACAAACACACACACAAGGCAAATTTAACATTATGCCCGGCAAAACTAGACCTCATTATTCTTCAGGGCACGGTATGAGAACACACACAGGATGTGACTACATACCGACTCAGACAAACCCGCATCTAACTAAACACACCGACGAATCTTAAATGACGAAGTTGATTTGACACGTTTGGCTGGCAGGATGGAATCCTACTCTGGGTAAAATCACAAACAATTTGAGATTCAAATGACAAAATGATCATAACTTGAGTGAATTTTGAGTGATCATTGAATACTTAAACTGTTTTAGTCCGGAGATTAAAGAGGCAAAACTAAACTATAGGCTAAGTCAAATATACAATTGATCAACAGCTCAAAATGTATTTAATCTCTCAATGAGTTATTGTCAAGGAGCCAATGGAAACGATCCCCCTGGTGGTAAACAGAATGATTGCCGTTTCAGAGGCCTACAGTTCAACCTTACAAACCCATCAATGTGTAAAGCGCATTAAAGATTTTCAGTGCTTATATTAAATCACTGTAAGACAAGAGAGGATAAACGTGAGACCCTTAAATGCCGGTCGGTGTAGAGTTGCACTGGGCTAATATTAAACCCACCCTGACCGCAAAGAGGAAATTGTGAACATTCCTGAATCCAGAAGAGACGAGGAGAGAGAGAGAGGGAAAATAAGAATTAACTTTTCCGATTCATGTCCTATTGTGATGCATTTAACCTGCATGTTCTGTTGAGACTGAGATCACTTCCTGATTGTTCGGGGTCCCCATGTTGTACATGTAAAATTATAACAATTAGCCTAAGTGATTGCTAACCAGCATAGTAATAACCCTTCTATTTATTTTGGGATCAATTTGAACACACTGTTGAAAAATACAATAAATAATAAAATAGGCCTGTATCAAAATAAAAATAAAATTACCTCTTCCAATGTACACCAATCACAAAATAAAATGCCTTCATGTATTCATGTTTAATATGTGAAATCTTTGAATTACCAAACTTGCATAACATGTTTAAGACATTTTCTGAAACATTAAATGTTCTCGCAAAATTCAATATCAATAGCCAATATTTTAATATTAAGAATGTTTCTGAGAAATAAAACATTTATCTGGGTCTCAGATCCCATACAGAAGTAGGCATGCCTATGATGCTCCAAAATGCAGCCTAGGTGGGGAGCACATCAGGTTTTGAGACACAGCCAAGGGTGCTTATTACAGCAGACCTTAACTTGGCCAAACTCCACATTACCGCGTTGAGCTGACTGGGTGCTATAAACCAACCCAAGTACCAACACATTACTCCAAAAATAGCCAGTGGATGCCATATTAAGGTCTAGAAGTAGATTGATTTGAGCATTAGAAAGCCCTTACAAAAATTACCATGGTAATCATAGTTTGCCTCAAAATACTACAAGCAATATCAACTAACGTTACCATAGTGAAACAATGCTTTTAGAATCGTGTCACTTTGTTGTGAAACATATCAGAAAGCGGTGGCTAATGCCAAGTTACCACAGTAGTAACATTAACTGTAGTAGCTGGGTTATTGGTGTAAACTATGGTTCGTTACCATAGTAAATTTACAAAGAAGAGTGCAAACACACTGCTGTGTTTTGGTCCACCGAATCTAGTGCGCGCGCGTGTGTGTGTGTGCGTGCGTGCGTGATTTTGCGGGCCAGCGCTGCCACGTAGAATAAGTTATTTAGGAAATGCAAGGAGACTAAACCCTCTGTACATCCTGACCGCCATACTAATGAAATAATAAAGTTAAAATAACAAAACTCACCTTTTTGGTGGCATTAGTTCTGCGTATTCCCAAACACACCTTCTTCCATGTAACTCTTGCTTTGATTCCTCAACAGCGCTCGCCAGTCTAGCACATAATCCCGAGCTGCGAACTCAACCCCATCGGGCTCCCCAACACTCACAAATCACTATACATGTGGAGGGAATTTCCCAACCGTGTGTAGGAGGGGTGACAAACACAAAAGGAATCGGCCGGAAACGCGTCTGTTACACGGCGTCTCTTTCCCTCAATTTTTAAAAGCAACGCAGCGGTTGTGAAATCTTTGTGCGATCGAGGTGTTTACATTTAACCAAGCGTGTACGAAAGACCACCCCTCTGCAGCTTACGTTGGTAGCGTCCACGGCTGCTCAACATACTTTTCCCTCAGCCTGCAGAGGAGAGCCGATGAATCCTGATACTAAAGCGAGGGCTTACATTATGAATATTAATGAGGTCCTGTAGACGTTGCTTAGTAACCCTCCCGGAGCGTCCAGTAACGTATTCGATTAATATTAATGAACCAAGCCTTCTCTATGAAAGGATTTGTGTTGTGCAGCCAATCACGTAGGCGTATTAGGCAAACGTCACGTTACGTGATTAATATTCCTGAACTCGACGCGTGCTAAGAAGATGGCCAGTTGCTAGTACAACTGTCTTAAGAACTAGTTTGACCAACTAGCAGTTAGTTGCGGGTAATCAGTCTTACTTTTGGATATCCAATTAGACTAAATACTTTTTTTATATAACTGACTTAAAAAGTTATGAATAAAAGGGATAATTCACCCAAAAATGAAAATTTTGTCATCATTTCCTCACCCTCAAGTTGTTCCCAACCTGTAAAAGTTTCTTTCTTTTGTTGAACACAAAAGAAGATATTTTAAAGATAGGTAGCCATTGACTTCCATAGTATTTTTCCCCTATAATATTTTTTAACATAACATTTTTCAAAATAACTTCTTTACCTGAGGGTGAGAGTGGACTGCAATAACCGTGCAGAGTTGCCAAACGACTCGGTTACTAACGTAACCTCGGTTCCCTGAGAGGAGGGAACGAGTATTGCGTAAGTAGCTAACGCTATGGGAAAACTCCTTTTCTCGAGAAATATTGAAGTCTTTATGTAAAACGCATTGCAGCTGCACAGCATACAGCAGTGAGCGAGGCAGCTCGGTCATTGGCTGTGCTGCGGCAACTGCACGAACCTATGACGGGGCGACTCTGAACACGCTTCCAATGAGCGTGAGCCAAGATGGGCGTGGCCAAGGGCTATATATTGGGCGCCCCGTCGTCTGAGTTCTTTAGGTTCAATCGACTGAAGCGAACTGACCAAGCGCAAGCACGGCAGCTTATGCAATACTCGTTCCCTCCTCTCAGGGAACCGAGGTTACGTTAGTAACCGAGTCGTTCCCTTTCGAGAGGTCTCTCCTATTGCGTAAGTAGCTTACGCTATGGGAACACCATGTAAAACGCCGTGCGTGCTGACTTCGCTCTATTCAGCCAGAGGCAGATGCCTGAGCCTTTAAGCAAAGTAATTATCCAACGAGCCCGCCGAAGGCGGGCTTTATAAGGGACAATGTAGAACGGCCCAATGGGTGTCCAGTGGAAAACACACAAGCACATTTTTATGTACTGATATGCATAAAAAACCCTCTAAGTCAGTCAGAGACGGACCCTATAAGGGAGGAGTTGCATTCCAACATACTGTCGGTTAGACCGACAGTATGTTGGAATGCAATGAGGGGACCTGTAGGTTATAAAACCTGATAAATGTTGACGGTGAGGCCCAGCCTGCTGCCGCACAAATATCTTGAATGGGTATCCCACTCAACCACGCCCACGAGGAGACCATGCCTCTCGTAGAGTGAGCTCTGATTACCAAGGGGCACTGAAGGCCCTTGGCTTCATAAGCCAGCGCTATAGCATCAACTATCCAGCGCGATATTCTCTGCTTTGAAACAGCGAGACCTTTGGTGCGGCCGCCAAAGCATACCAATAATTGCTCTGTCTGTCCGAACAGGGCAGAACGTTCCAAATATACTCTGAGCGCCCTGACTGGGCAGAGTAAATTAGCGTCGCTTTCGTCTGCTGGAGACGATAGCGCGGCCAGAGATATCACCTGTGCTCTGAAGGGTGTAGAGAGCACCTTAGGAATATACCCGTGTTTTAGCCTAAGGACAACTCTGCTGTCGTTAGGTCCAAATTCCAGGCAGGCAGCGCTTGGTGACAGTGTGTGCAGGTCGCCCACTCTCTTGACTGAGGTGAGAGCCAGCAAGAGAGCAGTTTAATGTGCACAGTTCGGAGAGGTTCGAACGGGGCACTCTTGAGTGCATCCAGGACCGTGGCCAGGTCCCAGATCGGCACTGAGGGGGGGCGTGGGGGATTTATCCTCCTGGCGCCTCTCAGGAAACGAACAACTAGGTAGTTTTTCCCTAGTGTGCGTCCTTCTACAGGATCGTGTGACGCCGCTATGGCAGCCACATATACTTTGAGCGTGGAGGGGGTGCGGCCTGCCTCCAACAGCTCTTGTAAGAAAACGAGCACGCTCGGTACCTCGAATGTCTCAGGATTCAGGTTCCTGGATTTACACCAGTCACTGAACACCTTCCATTTCTGGGCATATAAGCGCCTTGTAAAGGGCGCTCGTGCCTCAGTGATGGTTCTCAACACTCCACTGGGGAGGTTCCCGGGAACCCATTGAGGGGCCATGCATGGAGGGCCCACAGATCGGGGCGGGGATGGAGGATCATCCCGTTGGCCTGCCTGAGGAGGTCTAGCCTCAGCGGAATCGGCCATGGGGCAGATTGCATCATCTGCATCAGTTCTGGAAACCACGTCTGGTTCTTCCAGAGTGGGGCTACCAGGAGCACGGCACATTTCTCCTCCTTGATCCGACAGATGACCTGAGGTAGCATCGCGATCGGGGGGAAGGCATACAATGGGCGGCTCGGCCAGATTTGGGCGAGCGCATCTGTGCTCTGAAAAGAAGAGAGGGCAGTGCGCATTTTCCTTGGAGGCAAAGAGGTCGACCTCTGCTCTGTCAAAGGTTCGCCATAACCACTGAATCGTCAGGGGGTGGAGAGACCATTCTCCTGGGAGAACTTTGTCTCTGGACAGCATGTCCGCTCCCTGGTTCAGGACACCTGACACATGCGCTGCTCTCAGCGAGCGCAGGTTGCACTGGGACCATAGGATGAGTTCCCTGGCCATCGAGTGCAGGGAGCTCAACCTGAGTCCACCCTGGCGATTTATATATGAGACTACCGTCATGTTGTCCGTTCGGACCAGGACGTGTTCGTCTTTCAGGTACGGAAGCAGGGCTCTGAGAGCCAAAGCGACCACTTTCAATTCCAGACAGTTTATATGTAGGCGCTTCTCTGGGTTTGACCACAAGCCGGAGACAGGCCTGCCCTCGTAAAGGGCCCCCCAACCTATTTTGGAGGCATCTGTCGTGATCATTTTTCTCCTTGTGTTCACGCCCAAACTCACACCGGACTGATACCAGTCGGCAGCTTTCCAGGGCGTCAGGGCTTTTATGCAGCCGTGATTCGCTCTGATTAAAAAGTGGCCCGAGCGCCACGCGTGAGTGGGGACACGGCTCTTGAGCCAGCGTTGGAGAGGACGCATGTGCAACAATCCTAGCTGGAGTATAGCTGATGCCGAGGCCATGAGACCGAGCATCCTTTGAAAACGCTTGACGGGGGCGCGCGCGCCTGCTCTGAACGATGTTGCAAGGCGCCGAATAGTGAGCGCGCGCTCTGATGAGAGGCGCGCCGTCATCTGCACTGAGTCTAGCACTATTCCCAGAAAAGAAATATTCTGGCTGGGGGATAGCATGCTCTTTGCAAAATTGATTCTTAGACCCAGGCATTCTAGATGGCTGATAATCCAAGACCTGTGTGTCATTAACTGACTCTCTGATTGTGCTAGGACTAGCCAATCGTCGAGATAATTCAGTATTCGCACTCCCCGCTGTCTCAGGGGGGAGAGTGCTGCATCCATACATTTCGTGAATGTACGGGGTGCCAGAGATAGGCCGAATGGTAGTACTGTGTACTGGTATGACTGTCCCTCGAAAGCGAATCTCAGAAATGGCCTGTGATGAGGCGCTATCGGAATGTGAAAGTAAGCATCTTTCAGATCCACTGATAGAAACCAATCCCCCAGGCGAACTTGCGCGAGGATATGTTTGGTTGTCAACATTCTGAACGAGCGAATCATTAAAGCTTTGTTCAGATGTCTGAGATCTAGGATGGGGCGGAGACCACCATCCTTCTTCGGGACGAGAAAATAGCGGCTGTAAAAACCCGCCTCGCTCATAGAGGGAGGAACCGTTTCTATAGCGCCCTTCTCTATCAGTTTGAGCACCTCGGTGCGTAGAACATGTGAAACATCTTTTCTCACTTTCGTCTCGACCACCGCTGAGAAGCGGGGTGGTCTGCGAGCGAATTGAAGCGAGTAACCGTGTTTTATTATGTTCAAAAACCCATTTCGGCATGTCGGGGATATTTTCCCAAGCTTTCGCTCGCACAGATATGGGCTGAATCCTGGCTGGGGGCGTGTCGCAGTGACGTATGGCTCCCGCCGGCGAATCGCCATGTGCTAATGCTGGGCTTACAGCTCTCAGAGGCGCGCGCGCGCGCTGAGCAGCTTTGTTGAGTGCCGAGTGCAGGGGTGCGTGTGAGATTACAGGCACGCTCGCCACATCCGTAATGCTCACAGCGTGAGTTGGAGAAATGTTTAAGACTGTATGGACAGTGCTTATGGGTGGGGGTGCATAGACTGTGGTAGGCACGCGCGCCACTTTCATAAAACTTCCCGCTCATGGCGGGAGGTTTTTGGCCATGTAAACAGTGTTTGTGAGTAGGGGTGCGTGCATGACAGCGGGTACATGCGCTACCCTGATAGAATTTCCCGCTATTACTGGGGAAGTGTTTGTAACTGTGGGAACAGTGCTTATGTGTAGTGGTGCAAACATGACAGTGGGCACACGATCTACATTTATGGGGCGTCCAGCCTGAGCTGGGGAAGCATTTGGCA